ATATCTTCCGGTCTATTTATATTTAGTAAATATATATATTATATAAATATTATTACATATATTAACTTAACTATCTTACTTTTAATAAATTTAAAGACTATTTATACTATATTTATAAAAAAGATTCTTATATGTCATCTTCTGGAAGTTTATAATTTAATAATAAAATTGTATTATCTTATTATACTAATAATAGTATTCTTTATATAAAGAAATAATATATTATATTATTTTTCTACTTACATGTGTAAAAATTTATAAATATACTAATCTTATTTATTCATCTAAATAATCTTTTAATTTATATACAATAAATATAAATATTAAGATTTAAATAAGTATTTTAATACTCTAAATAGTATTACTATCTATAAATCATATAAGATATTATATAATTATATAATATATTACCCTACTTATCGTTTTATAAATTATAAAAATATATATTATATAAATAATTATAATTAATTATAGTGCCTCCTAAGCTGTTCTATATTATTATATTAGATTTTATTATTATTCTTTTACTAGTTATATCATTATTTAATATTCTAGGATGCAACGAAATCCTTATAATAATTAATAAATTTAATAAGTATTTAAGTTCAATTTTTAGACAATCAATAAGGTTTATTTCTTACTAAAATACTACCTTATTTTTTTTAATATAGAACTATATTAATCTTTATATTTATTTAAAATATTATTATACTAAGATCATATTAGTCTTTATTGAAATATTAGAAAAGTTATAAAACTCATTTCTATATTTATAAAATATTATTTTAACAAATATTATTAACCTATATTATTCCAGCCAGGTAAGTAAATTCTATTTAAATTATATAAAAACTATTTTTTATCTATTAGTACGATTCTTAGATATAAATTTTCTTAATGATATAATAATTCTCATACTATTTTTTAATATATTAATTATTATATATATTATTTTAATCTTTTAAAAATATAGAGGATCTATAATATATTATCTTTTATTTTATTTAAATTTTATTTCTATATTATTAAAGATTCTGCTAGTATTGTAAATCTTTTTTATATTTATAATAATAATATTTTTTATATAAAAGTTTATTCTACAAAATTTCTAGATAATAATATTACTAATTCTAATAATTCTATAATACTTGATTTTAATTTATTAATATAAGCTCATTAAATCTAGTCCTGTATATACTAATTATTAAAAAGTAACTATATTATTGATAAATATTGAACTTATTATAGTTATAGGCTGTACTATACTTAATACTTAATTTATTATTTAAAATATAATAATTATAACACTTATATCTATAAGAAGAATATAAATACTATAGAACTTATATAGAAATATAAAAATATTATTTTAATCCTAGTATTTAACAATTATATTTACTAGGTCTTATTCATCTATTTTATCTTATCTAGCTATTGGTTTCAGGATAATAAATTATAATATAATTATCAATAATATTTTAAATATGAGATTAAATCTTTCTAGAATTTAATTATAAATTAAAGATCTTAATTAGATACTATGAAGTAAGAAACATTATATAATTATAATATATACTAAATATATACTATAATTATTATAATAGCATTGGTAATATAATAATAAAATACTATATACTTTATTCTTATAAATTTATTAATAAATATTAGTATAATATTCTATTATTAATTTTTAAAAAAATATATAATAAAATTTATAAATATAACTTACTAAATATATTTTACGATTAGTAAAAATTGGACACCTTTTTACTTAATTTCTTAAAATAGAATTACACAGCAGTAGATATAGTAATTTTTTATTTATTATTTTATATAACAATAAAAATTAAATTAATAACATTTTTAAATTAGGATCTTGTTAGATATTTTAATCATAATTTATTATATATTAATTAAGTTAGTTTAGTTTTTAATTCATTACAATCAGAGACCTAAAAGTAGTTTTTATAAAAAATAAATTTCTTTTTCTTTTGTAAAATACTAGGAATATACTTAAATAATAATTTTTATTACCTACTAAAACTTTTAATATATTATAAATTTATTTAGTTATTTTTCGGCGTCTTGCAGGGTTATTTAAATCTATAATAATAATTATAAATTTTATTTATTTTTGAAAATTATATTATTCTAAGAGTAAGTAATTAGAACTAGAATATTTTAAAAAAAGTCTTTTTAAAAATTTCTTTATATAAATAGTTAGTCTCTAAAGGTGTTTTATATTTATTAAATATAAAGTTTTTTTTCATACATTTAGTAGTAGTTCTTTCTTAGTTTAAAAAAATAGATAAATAAAATCTAAAGATACTTTATATGTATTAAATAAAAACTTTTCTAATAGGTTCATGTTCTATACTTTTTTGAATTTAAATAAATAAATAATTAAAATCTAGAGATTTTAATTTTAATATAATCTAGTTCTAATATTATAATTATTTATTTTTTGTCTTTAAAAGATTCAGTAATCTTTGAATTAAATTATTAGACTTAGTTTTAAAGTATTTATAATAATATATAATCTTAGGATTAAAATAAAATGAAAATTCTAATTATTAGACTTAATAATAGCTTAAAGGTTTCATTAATATAAAATATTCTAGATTAATGTAATCCACAATTCATATAGCCCGCCCCTCTACCCGAAGCACCCAATATAATTAGATTAAAGCCTTTAAATCAACACAATCCTATATAAAACATTATATAACTAATTACTAGATGGTTTAGAACACTGCGTACGCCTATAACTAATAATAAAATAATTATTGTATTATAAAGACACCCGTAAGAAATTCTTTATAGATTAAAATACCTATTCAATCTTACTGTGATAGAATGGCCTGGATTGAGGCCTTATCATATCAGCACCAGACCAACTAAGGTCTTAGCCCTGTAGTAGCCCAGCTAGTAAGATTAAGGTTCTTAGAATAACGTGCTAAGATAATCATAGAAATTATAAAATTATTAATAGTAATTCTAATTTTTTTTCTTTTTTATAAAGTAATATTTTTTAGAGTTAGACTACTAATCCTTCAAAGATTAATTTATTTTATAGATATAGACTATCTTTATTATTACTAGTAGAATCTTATATATTTAATAGTTAATTTCTTATTTAGTTAATAAACTTTCTACTCTGATAAGTAAATCCTATTATATTCTGATCTTTCTTTTTTTAACTATCTAAGGAAGATGCCATCTTTTAAAGATTATAAAAAATAGAAGTAGTCAGTGATCGAACTAACTCAGAAAAAATATTATTCTTATTATTGAAGAGATTTAATAATTAAAAGATTATATTTATTAGTTAGAGTAAATTAATAATTTATAATAAAAAATAATCTATTTCCAGGAAGATTATTCTTCTAGTAAAATCTTATTTAAATATTATTAATTCTTCCCTAAATCTGATAAGAAAGGAAAAATTAAGTTTAAAAATATTTCTTATTTTATATTAAACTTCAATCTCTAGAAATATTAGGAATAGATTACTAATCTAGAATATATATTCTAGAAAATTTTTAGAAAATATTCTATTAAAAAATATAAGATTCTTACTACTATTAGCTATATAGATCTAATATATAGATAGAAATAATATTATTTTATTAATAATAAGACTCCAGAAGAGAGATAATTATTTAAAAAATTATAACTCTAATTTTAAGATTAGATTTTTATTTTAATTTAAAATACTATTATTACTTTGTAGTTAAATATTATAATTTAATTTAAATAAACTTACTAGTAGTACAGCCAAGATCTAAAATAGTTTTATATCTATTTTAATATTCTAGAATAATATTTCCTCTGACTAAAAAAGAAAGAGTTCTATTATATTTTATTAAATTATTATTAAATTTAAATTATTATATTTAAAAACACATTCCATATATATCTAAAAAATAAAAAAATAATATTTATTATTATCCACTATTACAAGCTATAGAATAATAGGAAAAAATATAAATAAAATAATAATTAATTTTATTAATCATAGATTATATAAACAGATTCTGAATTATTATAATAATAAATCTGTTATAGATAATATTCTAGATTATAAAAAATATTCTATTAGAAAGAATAATAAATAATTATAATATTTTATATATAATAGTATCTAATATCTTATAAACTATTATTTTATTAAAAATAAAGAAATCTAGTCTGCTAAAGTCTACTAGCTTTTATTAAAATCTAAAAAAAATAGAAAAGTTAAAATAAATCCTATAATTTTAACTCTATTATTTATAGTAAAAATTATTTATTATTTTTATATTTTTATTTATATCTGAAATAATCTTGAAACTTTTATAAATCTAAATAATTATATCAAAATAAATATTATTAATTATTAATTTATTAAAATTTATAAATTTTAATATATCCCAGTCACTATACCTAGAATTAAAATAATTAATTAACTTAATACTCTTATTTATATTGTATAGAAAATATTTATTACTATTATTAATTTATAAAAAAGTATTTAAATTTTTAAATAATATTATATAAAATTTAATAAAGATCCTTAGCTGGATAGTAGCTCTATTCTATTATTAATAATTATATTTTAAGATCTATGTATTATTTTATTAAAATAAAATTACTTATAATAATTTAATATATTATTAATTTTTTTCTTTCTATTACTAAATTTATTAAAGTAATTTAAAATTTAATAAAAATATATACTATTATTAAGTTTCTTGAAGATATTTAGCTACTTAAAAAAATCTTATAATCTATTATTAAATTTAGAACTATTACTAATCAAATTCTATTGGTTTTATAATATTCCCTTTATAAATTTTTTTTAATAATTACCTTTTTATAGCCCTACAGACCATACTATTAATCTTAAATTTAATAAAATATTTTTATATAATTTTATATATCTTCTCTTAGAGGCTGAACTTAAAATCCTATAAAAGTATATTAAAAAAAATTTAAAATTAGATTAAATATAGTTTTTTAAGAGTCTTGTAGGGGCTCTTATTCTTTTTATATTAAAAAAAAATAATTTATACTTTTATATAAATTATAAGAGTTTTAATAAAATCTCTATTAAAAATTATTATTCTTTATTTTTTATTTCAGAGATCTTTAACAGAGTTATAAATAGTAAATATTTTTTAAAAATTAATATTAAAGATACTATCAAATCTATATTAAAGAAAAAAATAAATAGAAGATAGTATTTTATATTTAATATAATTATTTTAAATATATAGTTATATTATTTAGATTAACTAATATTTTAATAATTTTTTAAAATTATATATATACTACACTCCATGGACTTTTTAATAACTTTTATATAATATATTTAAATAATATTCTTATTTTTTTAATAAATAGGAAATCCTATATAAAATATATTTATTAAATATTAAAAAGACTCCGAGAGATTACGTTTTATATAAAATTATTAAGATATCTATTTTATTAATCCTAAGTTGGATTTTTAGAATATATTATTAATATTAATAATATATCCATAGATTCTTATTAAATAAATAATATTATATTATAATTATTATATAAATTTATTATAATATTTAAGTCTTCCTAGAATTTTGTAATTTTTATTAATAATTTATTTAAAATTATTTTTATATTATATTATTCTTTATTTTTTTATTCTATGGAGTAGTTAACGGATAAAAATCTAGATAAATCTAATTAAACTTATATAGATAGATAGTTTTTTATTTTTTAATTATTATCTTTCAGTAAGTACTTTTATTAATATATTTTAATTTTATTAAATTCTAACATTTTGAAACTGATATATTTAAAAAAAAAATAAATAAGACTTTATCCTAACTTAATAGTAAGAGTATATTCTATCTAGTTACTTTTTAGTCTTATAAATTCTCTAGTATTAAACTAAATTATAATATTTTAGATTAAGAATTATTCACTATTATTTACTCTTTTAAATAATAGTAATAATATCTCAAAGAAACTCTTTAAATAATTAAGATTTTATCTAATTATTTAAACTTGTAATCTTTCATGCGTTAAACTAGAATTAATAAAAAATAAATTTAATAATTTATAAATTTAATTTTTTTTAATTTTATTATTAAATATAGAATAGAAAAGTTAAATCTAGTAAATAAATTTTTTAAAATATCTACCAAATTTTAAATAGAATTTATTTTTAAAAACAACTTTTAATTCTAATTTAAAGCTATTTCATGGGTATGTTATCCCTAATAATTAAAGATTTAATAAATATAAAATCTTAGTTTAAATCTTAAAATATGTAAGATTATCTTAAGTTTAATATTTATATAATATTAAATTTAAAGAATCTTAATAATTAAACTAATATAAAAACAGCTGATTAGATTATTTAAAAAACCTTATCTTAAGAAAGATTTATTTTCTAATCTAGAATAATATATATATATATACTATAAAAATTCTATACTCAGATACATGTAATTCTAAACTTTAAAAATAATTTTATATTTATAGAATAAAAATCTAGAGACTTAAGAGGAAAAGACTACTATTTAATAAAAATAACTAGATTAAAAATATTAGACTATTAAGACTATTAATTATATTTATTTTAAAAATTATTTTTATATTCTATCTTCCGAAATATTATGTTAAATACTTATCTATTTTTATTATAATAATCTATTAGCGGGATATTTTAGAAAGACTTAAATTAAAGTTTTATTATATAAAAAGTTCCATTGGAGTGGACTGTATAAAAATATAATTAAATATATTTAAATTTATTTAACATATTAAAGTAATATAGGTTTAAAATATTAATTATATAATAGTCTTGAAATCTTACTAATTCTTTTTTATTTTTTTATAAAATTAATAATAAACTTTATCACAGGATTACTTCTAATTATATAATATAAATAAATTATTAATACTATCCTTATTATTATTAATTAATTCTTAAAATATTATTTTTTTATTATTTTATTAACTATAATAGTTCTAAATCTAATTAAACTATTTTATTAATAAGTTGAACTAGTCTTCAGACCTTCTAATAAAATTATATTTAATTAAGATTTAATATTTATTAATAAATTTTAGTTAAATCTATTTTATAATAATTATATAATTTTAAAGTTTTTTACTATATTTCATCCACAAATCAATAATTAAATAGAAAGAATAAACTAAATCTTCAAGTATTACTTAAGGTATTATTCTATTAAATTTTATATAAATTAGATTATAATATTACTAACCACCCAATTTGCTTGTAATAATGTAGATAATATAATTATAAAATAATTATTAAATAAAATTTTATATAATTATTTATTAGACTTTTATATTAAAATTAAAAGTAAATTTTAATAATAAGAGGTCCTAGCTATATAGAATAAAATTAAAAAGTACAGGTAGATAAGAAAATAACATTAAAAATATAATAAATAGCTATAGAAACGTAAAAGAAATATTATAATAAATATAAAAAGCTATTCTATTTTAAGAAAAAGGATTTAGTCAAGTTATCAACTTACAATCTATAGTTTAAGAAATCAAGAAAGCTAGTCTTAAAATTTATAAATTTTCTTTAGATTTTAAAATAAATTAGATCCTAAGTATATCACTTATATGCATCTAAGAAATCTAGATAAATCTATAATATATTTTATATCTTATAGATCCGTGATATATTAATATAAATTATAAAAAATATTACTAATACTAGAACTAGATAACGAAAAAAAATAAAAAATTAAAAAAATTAAGAATTATTATTAATATAATAGCTAAGACTACTATTTAATTAAATAGTAGAAATAGCCTAGTAAATATAATTAGTAAATCTTTTAAAAAAATATAAATAATATGCTTTAAGCTATTCACAACTACTAGAAAGATAAAAAAAATAAAAATAAATAATAAAATACTGCCAAAATAATAAAAATCTAAAAATATTATATATTTAACTTATTAATCTAAATACTAAATTTATAAAATCATTTTATTATTTTCTCATTAATATTATAACTATCTATAGGAGATCTAGCTTAAATTATATAAAAAATATAAAACTTATTCTAAATAATAAACTATATTCTAATAATTTAAATTTAAATATCTAAAATTATATCTATGAACCTTAAATAAAGACTAGACATCTAAATACTTATTAAATTATAAAAATGTAGATAAAGAAACTATTATAAATAATTTAAGTTTTTAAAATTATTTCTATCTTCTCTTTCTTATTTAAATTATTTTTTAAATTATTATCAGAGGCTATTAAAATATTAAAGAAATATTTATAAATTATATTTATAATATTCTAGAATAGAATAATTATTATTATAATTTATATAATAAAACTTATATTTTCTAGTAATAGATATAGAAATATTTATTTATTATATTAATAAAGCTTTAAATACATTACATTAATACTAGAATAAGAAAATTAATATACTATAATATTATACTAAATAATAAGATACTACTAGTATCTATAAATATCTATTTAATATTTTATTAATGAATTGTCCTAAAAAATAGCTATCTATTAACTTATATTTTTTTAAATTTTTAAGGTAAAGACCCATAGCATAAACAGCCTCAATATTTTTAAAAACTTTAATAAAATTGAAACTATTAATATATAAGCGCACATATAATTTATTACTTAAATCCTTGATATCTAATAGTTTATTAATTTATTAAAAAATCTCTATAAAATTATACACATTTTCTAATATTCTAGTAAATATTAAATTATATTAATAAATAAATAATATACTAATAAATAGTATACTTACAGAATTATATTTCTTATTACTCTTATAGTAATACTGGCAAAGAATTAATATTTTATTATTAAAAATATATTAAATAATAAATAAAATACCAGTAGTAGTATTATACTTTTTTAGATCTAATTAAAAATAATATATATAATAAAAAATATAAGCTCGATAGCTATATTATAAGTAATATAATACTTAATAATTGAATAAATATAAGGTATCATGATCACTTCCTTAACTAAATAATAATAAAAAGACTTTAAAATATAATATAAATACTACTAGCTAAAGGAACTACAGTATTAAATAAAAAAAGCTATTATGAAATATAAAAGAAGTATAAAGAAGAAAAAAAATAATAATACTAATATTAATATTATAATAGACTACTATTACATAGAGAATAAAGCTATTTACTATTTCTAATTATAATAATAATAATAATTATGAATATGTTATAGTATCCTTCACTTTACTTACTATATAAGAATGTATTAATAATTATTCTATAACTTATCTTTTATTTTTTATTATATTTTTATTATAAAATTATTTATATATAATTTTCCAAGCCAGGAGACTCGGTTTAGCAAAAAAAATAATTATAATAAAATAATCTAGATTAAAGTCTTATTTTATTAGTACTAGACTAACTTAGGTCTTAGTCTTGTAGTAGTCCAGCTAGTAAGATTAAAAATTTTAGAATAATATACTAGGATAGTTATAGAAGTTATAAAATTATTAATAATAATTCTAATCTTTTTTCTCTTTTATAAGATAATACTTCTTAATGTTAGATTACTGATTCTTTAAGGATCAGTCTATCTTGTAAATATAGACTACTTTTATTATTACCAGTAGAATCCTACACGTTCAGTAGCCAGTTCCTTACCTAGTTGACAGGCCTTCTATCCTGATAAGTAGATCCTATCACACTTACTACTAATCTTTATATTTTAATTATATTAGATAACTTGCTGCATATCTTCAACTATAATATTTTATATATAGATCATTTATTTCTTTAAATATCTTCGTTTCTGTAGCTACTTTTTATAATTTATATATAGTTTTTATTTTTTTTAAGAAGTAAAATTAAATTAATTATTACAAGCTTATACTTCTTAAGAAGCTGCTATAGTGTAAAATAGATAAATAATATTAGATTTATTTAATATTTTTAAAACAGAAATTCCACAGCATTTTAATATTTTGAAAAATATTTTATATTATATGGTATTTGAAGCATTAAACCACTTAATTAGTTTATTTTAAAAAAAGATTTTTCTAGTAAATATTCAACTAATAAAGTACTTAATCAGGACTTAGGGAAACTAGACTTGTTATTCTAAATTTACTAATAATATTCAATCTTATTAGAGCTTGTTGGTGTGTATTGGAATAAACTTTTAAAAAAT